ATGTTGGGCTGCAACTTAAGTAACTAAAACATTAATTTAATTTAATAAAAAATGAGTTTATTACTGTGGAAACATCATCAGACATTTCCTGTTCATCATTAGTTGCTTCCACTGAATTCAGAAAATATCCCCAACTAAAACCACAAATATTGAGGCCCCATCCTTATCCTTATTTCCTCCTCGGTCTCGAATATGACCCAGCTGGGTCCACACATGTGAACGAGACATACAGTAAACTGTAGCAGCTGCTGTGGGAATATGACGCAAGCACCAATCATCACAACTGGGAGTAAAACTAATATGACTGCTAAACAGAGAGAAAAGCAGGTTTAGTTGTCAAAAATATGCATTAAACATCCCATTAAAATGGTCAAAGTGGTGACAAAGAGAACAATTTCCTGGTTTTCACTCCACCCATTTTTAATTGAAGAAAATTCTATCCATCATCTAAATTACATTGTATGAATGATGTTTTTCCATGCCTGTCTTCTTAGCTTAAACATGGCATCAATCACAGCAATATTTACTCTGGGACAAGGGCTTCCTAATCCGTGGATGTGTCACAGATTTATCATGGGAGTTTTTGAAATGGAATCGGAAACAGAACGTCAAGATAACATTTATCATGGCAACTGAGACGTGGATGATTAATCAGTTTTCATGTTTGTATTTTGGATTATCAGATGGAATTCATGGGAATACAAATGGACTGGGTTTTGGGCCCCAAAACAATGTTCTCAAAATACTTTTCATCTGATAGATGCATTTTCTGAAAACCAAACTTTTCTGGGCTTTGTGCTCTTGGCAAAAATGATAATTAGTTCTCCATGTCCGCCACTGACCTAAATGTGCAGAGACTCCCTGTAACTTTCTGGTCATTATAATTTCAGAAGAGTCTTTAACAAAAAAGGTTTGCGTTTTAAAAACAAAAACTTTTGAATAGATTTTTTATGTTATTTTGTTTCACCTCATGCCATTAAAGGCTGACAATGATGTTATTCCAAGTCTGAGTGTGTGCATGTGTTAGTTTGTCTTTTAGCAAAATATCTCATGAAATATTGGACAAATTTTAATGAAACACTAACGTTACTACTGATTCCCTTCTGGAATCAAACAGATGCAAGATGGCTTCCACAGCTAATCAACTTCTGCAATCAAAAGTAGCAAGAACTCAGTCAGTTTTATAGATATTGAGCTTAAATTTATTGTMGTAGTAGCTGAGAGTCTGGTTTTAATAATGAGCAGTGGTTTAATAAAAAAAAAAACTATACTTCATTTGCTATTATACTAGCATGTACAACTTGTCCTCAACAGATGAACGAGCAAACTGATGGATAATTGGCAATAAGTACCTTTCACCAATGTATATGTGTAATAGGGTTGGGCATAATCATATCATGTGCAATCGTCAGAAAAACATTAATCGATTATTTTTTGGCACTTGATTAATACGATTAATGCCACCAGGTAAACTGACTGGAGATTTCTCGTGATTAATTTTTTTGATAATTTTGCCCAACCCTAATGTGTAAACTCCATAAAAGCTCAGTTAAGTGTCCACAGTATCTTGGAGATACTGTATTGTTGGGGAATTATTGCATCACCCAAAAGTCTGATTATGTAAATAAATGTTCCATCTTTGTTGTTTTTCCATAGATGCAGATAATATTTGTTGTCTTACCAACTGGCTTGCTGACTCCAAGAAAGCCAGCATTTCCCAAGATCTTGAAGATCTTGTGGGCTGGAAATGTCCCCTCTGCTTCCCACTTGTCAACGTAAGGGTTAATTTCCTGGTCGATGAGCTGTAGTGCAAAGGAAATAGCTGAGAGGTGTGAAGCTGAACAGCAAGCAATTCAACTGGCTCAAAAGAAATTTTTAAAAAAAGTATCTGTATAAGGACAATAGAAAATGTATTTTCATTGTCCAAAATAGTGACCACTTTCAAACACCCACATGGGGACAAGAAGCAAAATAAACAATCACTAAAAATGAACAGGTCTCCCCTAAACCTGTGATCCATGTTCAAAGTTCAGATCCTGAGGATGGAAAGGGAGGAATGACTCGTTGCAGGAAAGGAAAACATTTAAAAAAATCACAAGGGAGTAATCCTGCATGTCAAAAAAGGGTACTTTGCTCAACTTGTGTTTCATACCAGGAATTTRACATCACTGAGCTGCTGTTTAGTAAGACAAGGTCAAAAAACTTTGTAACATCGAGTCGTTTCAACACATCCAGTCTGGAGATTTGGTGCCTTCGGCTGGACAAAACATTCTGACATGTTTCGTCTGGACTTCCCTGAACAGCATGTTTAAGTGGARATGTCTTTAAATATGATCATAACTTATTGTCACTATATAGGATTAGTAATAATAATGTAAAGATTTCTGATTGAATGGGAGGTATTTCAACTCTTCAGCCAGGTGTATTTACTGGATTAGCCAGGAACAGTAACAGATTAGCTTTTATTTAATTCCATTGATTGTTAATCTCTTTATTAGGAGTTTAAGATGATGTGCTCTGATGCTTGTCTGGTTTATCAGGATGCTACCAGCTCCATGTAGGTAAGGCCATAGGGTCATCCATCTTTGTTTTTCTATGACTTGGAGAGGGATTTACAGCCACTGACTATATATATCTTACCAAACACATCAAATAAAAACAGAGACAGAGAGACATTTTTAGATCTATAGGGTTGCCAAAGTGTGATGGACTTGCGACCTGTCCAGGGTGTACCCCGCCCCTCGCACTGTGACTGCTGGATATGGGCACCAGTGACCCACGCAACCCTGAAAAGGAAGAAGCGTGTACAGAAAATGGATGGATGGATGGATGGGTTGCCAAAGTAAGTCTTTAATATATAAAAAGTTGCTTTTTGATCATTAAATTAGCCAAACATTAAACTTTAACTAACACCTATCCTTCAAGTCTGTAACATGTGGACTAATTGGGATTTAACTTAAAAACAATCTAATTAAAAAATACAGCATTTTCTTTTAACCCTTCAAATTACAGAGTCAACTAAAATAATTATTTTAAAAAGGTAGATATAAAAATATGTAACCAAATCCACACAGTAGTAGGAGCATTCTGGTTTACCAGTAAGTTTCTCTGAGATCCAAACTGAAACCCAGAGGTGATCGGACTTTTGCAATTGCTTCTCCAGTTTTTTGTAATTATTATTTATATTCGGTCCACTGAAGCTGTTCAGGCTTTTAAATTTTGCCCATTTCTTTTCTTTGGCTTTTTGAYTTGAGGTTAAATTAGAGCTGATGGTTTTATTTTAACTTTTGTTTTCTTAACAAGTCCTTGACTGTCAACCTTTGCTATTTTTAATGGGTTATATAAATAAATTGACATCAACATTGACTATTTACCGGTGGAGTACAACAGAAATCAGTCCATGGACCTTTTAAGTTTTTTTGGAGTAAGATCTTGCCTGGCTGGGATAAGTTGATGAAACCAAGGGGAGGCTGCAGGACAATCAGCATCCTTCTAATGTTAGAATTAGCTTTTTTTAGCTCATTGTTAATGATGTGAATACTAAGGTTTTTAATTTTCCTTTTACATGCAGGAAACTARAAAAACTTCTGAAAGAACATATCAACACTCAGGCTTTAACCTTGAGCACCAACTATGGATTTCCTGATTTGTAAATTTATAAATATATCCTACTGTGAATTCCTTTAATAAACCATTCCTGCCTGGATTCCTTTTCCTGTACCGCCAACATATTGTCCGGAATTTCCTATTTGCATTCTCCTCCCTCCCAGTATTCCCGGTTATACTACACCTCGTAGTATTATTTCAAATCTATATTCAGACATCAGCTTCCTTCTAATTTACCAACATTTTTCGTTTCCTGTCTTTATCAGAATCTTGTTGCTATTTCTGCAGTCTATAGTTCTTCTTCTAGTAACATGAATTTGAAATGAGTCAGACTGATTACTAATTCTTACTTCATTGTTTGCCACAGCAATTTGCAATAATAGTCTGTGTTTGAGGAAGTAAACAAAAAAAACATGAGAGACAAAAGGAGTGACTTGTTGAAATCTAATATTTTTCGATTTCTCTGTGTGGGGTAAAAAAAAATAATTCTTTAATAAATAAAATAAATAATCTAGGTTTGCTGATGTCTCTTGAAAACATTCTTTTGCTCAAGCCAAATTAAATAATGCCTAAGAACTCACAGTGAATACTAATAAACAGTCTGTCTCTTTTTCAGGGTTTTGAGATAAAGCAAAGACAAACATTCACATCTATCAGGTTCAGACTATCTGTTCTCCTGTTTTTTCAAGGTTTTGTTGAAGCATTTTAATGAGATATTTACTTTCCTCTCTAATCACAGTGAAAATGAGCCTGATTCTCCTGTATCAAAAAGTTTAGATGTTTTATTTTCCACCTGAATGTTTAGCCGTTTGACAGCCTGTACTTGAAAGAATAACCTCATTAAATTTGTATCCTAAAAAAATCTTCAGTGGATACAAACCTACCTGTTTGTAAATTAACCACATCAGAGACAGTTTCATCAGAGCACCAAGATCCACTTCTGCCTATTCAAGTTCATTTGTGTTAGTTTTAGAAATGACAGCTCAGCTGGTTCAGACAATATCTAATACGTCATGTGTTTTGGTTTGGTTTGTGGATTTCACCATCATCCCTCCCTCGGGCCATCAGGCCGACATGAGATAAATCACTGCCTTCTGTTCATGTGATAATAACAAAAGTATGTCGCCTAAAAATATCTGACAGACTTAAATTTATCTTTGAGAATCCCTGATTCATTCAGGACAGGGGTGTCTGATGCTGGTCCTCCAGGACTGTGTGTTTTACTTGTTTCTCTGCACCAAAGGTATGGTGACCAAATGTCCCCAATTTCCAAGGGCAGTCCCATTTAGGATGACCTGCTCCAGGCTAAAGCAGTCCCCCCAGAAATATCCCCAATTTTAGCATGACTGATTTAAAAAAAATGCTACGTGTTAACTGTTATTATGGTAGCTGGGTAGAATGCACGAGTGAGCATGTTGCACACAACAACAGCTATTATCTTACATGTTTTACTTGTTTCTCTGCTCCAACACACCTGATAGAGTGACTGAATTACCTTTTCAAGTTCTGCAGAAGCCAGTTAATCATCTATTTATTCAGATTGGGTGGGTAGAACAGAGAAACTAGTGAAACATGCAGTACAATGGTCCTCGAGGACTAATTTTGCCCACCCATGTCCTATATCCTTGCATGTGATTGGTCACAAAGTCATGAAATGGAAAAAAAAAAAATTGGGACACCGGCTCTCACTTAATGAGAGTTGGCTCTTCTGATTGGCTACAAAGCATTGTCTCTGTCTGGGTTAATACTTGCAGCTACACACCTTTTTTTTTTTTTTAAAGTGGGACGCTCGGCTCTTCTTCTCCCATCTGTAATGTTAACATCAACCTGCTACCATAATGGCCTTTGAGTACCATGATTGCCCATCATACTATTGAAAACAGAGAAGGGGGGCAGATGTGACAATCACATGAAACATCTGTCCGTACCCTCAAGGGCCGATCATACTCCATCCATTAAATAAAATTTAAAGCTTGATTAAAATATTAAATAAAAGTAAGAATGCTTGCTTTTGCAACAAAACAAATACACAAACTTAGGCAATTATGTCTTCTCAAGAAAAATACAAATGCATAAGGGTTTATAGAGACACAAAGCACTCATATTTGCCAAGTTAAGCTAAATAGAGCTGAACTTCCCATCACTAACGCTGTGTAACTTGGTGGACGTTATGTGTGTACGACTGTTAAAGATATTCATGAGTGTAAACATTTGTTGTTCTGGTTAGATGTTGAGCTGTTCATGTCTGTGGCATTGGATGCATATTGACACCATTAGTGAAAGGGACTTCCTGGGTGTTTAAGGAGGAAGCTGTCAGCTGGAAACGTGTAGATAAAGCGTGACATCATTGCTTTTCATTTCCAAGATGGAAATGTCCCCGGATTTACTTTAGTAAATCTGGTCACCTTATCCAAACACACCTGCTTCAGTTAAGTTGCCTCTTCAAATTATGCAGAAACCTGTTAATCAAACATTAATTTAAATCAACTGTGTTGGAACTGAGGAACATGAAGGACGGTGGCCTTCGAGGCCCAAAATAAGACATCTCTGATGTTCTGCGTGTAAGGAAAAGGAGGGATTTAACAATACAACTTGTAGTTTCGACTGAACTAATCAGTTATTGCACACACATATATAAAGTAATACAAACTGCATGTTGAAATAGAGCACCCTGAAACATAAACAGATAGCACTGACCTCTCACCTACTTTACCAAATCCACTGACTCTCTTTTAGGTCTTTTTTTTAAGGCAGAATAACACTAGTGTGTTGAAAGAAACATTAAAAAATATTCAATACTCAAAACCAAAACAGCACAATTCTGCTTATAGTTTCGTGTTTTGTTAGCAACAGCTCGCATACCTTTCTGAGGGCCTCCTTCAGCGCAAAGTGCTCTTGTGTGTAGATTAAATGGTCACTTGTGGTGTCTGAGGGTCTGGACGTGGCGGGTTTAGAAGACACTTTTTCAGACAGCGACCGGACGCCCACAAACGAGGCGAATTTGTGCAAACAGCGGCTATTTAGCAGCAGGTTTAAACGCACGGCTCCTATGCGCAGCGCCATGACTGACAACAACGTGTTTGCGCATGCGCGGGAGGTGTTTTCACCAAAGTGAGGTTTTTATTATGTCGCCCGTCTCTGTGCGCGTCTGTTAGCAAAATATTTCATGAAACACTGCACATATTTTTTATGAAACTCTCAGAAAGTAATTTTTGGATATACATCTATAATCCATTTGTTTTTGGAGTTAACTCAATTCAACATGGCTGGCACAGCCAGCTAACACTGAAAATACTATATATATATATATATATGTGTGTGTGTGTGTGTGTGTGTGT